TCATTAAGTCAACTGGCGGGGTTTCGATTCCCCGGTTGTACGTGACAAGGATTAGGGTCGCCTGTCCAACCTCGTTGGTTTTCTCCGGGTCCTCCGGTTTCCTCCCACTGCTAAAGACCCCTACGCTCAAGCGAATTATTGAAATAAAATTGAACCATGTGTTAGTCCCGAAATGACCTAGTTTGTGTCGAGTGGACGTTAAACCCCATCTCTCTCCCTCTCCCTCTCTCTCTCTCTCTCTATTGCATTGCATTCCGCACACAGGGATCCATCTACTTTATACTTCGAGAATAGATCTCTGTCCTAAATGGCCGCCATATCCAAAAATTAGTTTTCTGTTCTGTAATGCGGTTCACATCTGTTATACACACAAGGACTAATTAAACCTTTTCAATTTTAGTAAATAAAAGCAGAATATATACTTTAAAAATTCTCGTGGTTTCGACTAAAATCATCGATTTGGCACATAAAATGTCGGTCAACTACCTAAGTGACTGTAGACAGGCAGCCTACGTTTAGTATGGATGGATTGTAAGGGAATGGCGCCTTTTGAATTTTAGCTAAAATATCAAATCTCTCACAGCTGAATACACCAAGCAAAATATGGTAGTGAATGGCGGACATCTTAAAGTCACGATGCGCCATTTGAATTTTCGTTAAAATATCAAATCTCTCACAGCTGAATACATCACGCCAAATAGTTCAGATTGATTATTTAGAGAGAAAGAGAGAGAGAAATGGGGTTTAATGTCCACTCGACACAAACTAGGTCATTTCGGGACTAACACATGGTTCAATTTTATTTCAATAATTCGCTTGCGCGTAGGGGTCTTTAGCAGTGGGGGAATCCGGAGGACCCGGAGAAAACCCACGAGGATGGACAGGCGAATTGATTATTTAACATTTAATCAAGAAAACAAGATTAGGATTCCATTCCAACGCTAGAAAATCTCCTGGCTTGCATTCCGTGGGATTAAAACTACGTTCACAATTTTTATGGGAAACAATCACTGGTTTTATTCTAATAGCACGACGTTTCGACAAGTATCCTCTTATCGTTATCGTGCTTGATAACGAAAAGAGGATACTTGTCGAACGTCGTGCTATTAGAATAAAACCAGTGATTGTTTCCCATAAAAATTGTGTTCTGTTATTGTGTACCCCAATCACTATATGCCACTTAAAGATCATAAGAGATGGTGGCATATCATTTTTCGCGCTCAATTTTTGTCAAGGTCGTTGAGATGTAAATAAGGCTAGGGAACGTAATGGTTGGCGAGATTGTAGGTTAGGATTAGGGTAAGAGCTGCGGCTAGGTCCAGGGTTAGGGTTAGGATTGGGAATTTTACGCTCTAGCAGTATAGATCGATGAAATTTCAATTTAACATAACTTTCTAAATACTGTACGGGATTGAACCATTTTTAGACTGGTAATTTAATGATGCGGGGGGGGGGGGGGGCGAATGATTAGCGCGTGTGCGCTGTATCATAAGGTTTGGCATTGAGTCCACGGGCGTGGTTTTGATTCCCCGGTTGTACATGACAAGGAGTAGGGTCACCTGTCCAACCTCGTTGGTTTTCCCCGGGTCCTCCGGTTTCCTCCTACTGCTAAAGACCCCTACGCGCAAGCGAATTATTGAAATAAAAATGCAACCATGTGTTAGTCCCGAAATGACCTAGTTTGTGTCCAGTGGACGTTACCCCCCCCCCCCCTCTCTCTCTCTCTCTCTCTCTCTCTCCCTCTCCATATTAGAGATTCAATTTGCACGATATTTTAGTTTGCCCGAGATTTCTATAGCGCTATATGACGCTTATGGCCTTTAATATCTTACCTTTCTCAACCAGCCGGGATAATGCAGTTTATTAATGAGGGAAACTTCGCCCAGACAACATTTTTTTGTGTTCCCGGGTCGACAGTTAAACACAAAAAAAGTAGTAATGTGAGGTTCCAACTGTGTTGCGATTCGTTACTATAGGATTCTCCACGATCTGGTACGAGCAGATATGTTCGAATACGTTTCAATACGATCAATACGATTGATACGACTGGCCTCAATATATGACAAGACCTGATATGATCACCACGATTACAACGCGATTAAGGGGATCACGGTGGCTAAGTGGGTAGGGCGCTGGCTCGCTAGCCTGGAGGTCGGGTGTTCGATCCCTGCATTGGCCGAGAAAGTTCATCCCGATTTTCCGGCGTGGTTCTCCCTTGTCAGTGATGCAGGACGGAGGGGCTGACAAGGACAGCTGTCTAGTCGTTCGGATGGGACGAAAAACCGAGGTCCCGTGTACTCATTGGCGTGCACGTAAAAGATCCCTTGACAGTTGGAATTCGATATAAGAGTAGGCCGTAGTGCCGCTGTCCGGGCAAAATTTCCCTCATAGCACACTGTATGGCGTATGCCCGTCTTCATTAGCCCAGTTCGGAGCAAAACAGTAGGACGTTAAACCCCATTTCATTTCATTTCATTTCACAACGCGATTAAAACCACGATTTCAATCGCAGCGCAAATCGTGATAGTGGGAACCTAGCATTGACAAGCCGACTTTTGCTGATTCTTTCGAAACAATAAATAAATCGCCTATAGTTAAAGCTTGTCCCATCACTAATCTAAATAACATACAGATCAACCGGGTTCAATATCTGACATAAATCAAAGATGTTTAGTTCCTTCTACTAAATAGTCAGTACACGCAAACAAAACAGATAAAAACAAACCCCCAGACAATACACAAAGCACACTGACATTGCAAGCAACAAACAACATATTATGTCAAACCAAGTGAATGGATACGAGTGCCAGCCGTAATCTTCCATGATAATGACACAGACTCCACTCAAAACTTACAATAAAACAGTAAAATAACCAAGGCAATGGAACTAATACAAACAGTCTTGACGGTGGTCGTCTGCGGAATGACGTTTCTTGATGGCAATAATCTGCCAGTTGTTAACGTCATGTGGGTTAGAATCATACTGACCGCAGTGAATATTCGCTAGGCCGCTACAATCACTGATAAGGATGACATCAATGCGACTTAAACATGCATTATGCAAGAGCAAAATCTGCTTATTACAAGTCTTTCTTTAGGCCTGAAATGTTATCTAAATTATCAATTAGACATTAATTAACTTATCCAGACCATAATAAACTCTCGATGTCAAGGCTAGCCTTCGATGTTGGCTGGATTAGATTCCTATATGCCGCTAACGGCTATTGATAATTAAATCAATAAAAGTGGATAATCGAGACTATGCTGTTTATATTAATGATATTAGTAATGATGACCGAGACTAAGCAAAAATTTCACCCGCTTCTTTCTCGGCTCATAGTGGATCAATTTGACTGAAATTTTCAGCAAATTACCTTTACACTATCTAGTTTTTAACTATTATAGCGAGAACTGCCATCTCTTTATCTTATCTCCCATAATGTATCTTTAATGAGTCTCAAATATTAACTTTTTTTCCACCGACATATTAAATTCTAAAACATTTTTTTGATGTATTAGAGAAATAAATAAAGACGTTTGACGTATTTGTAGGTAAAAATTATTTCCTATGTAGTGTAAATGGGTATTAAAATGACTAAAAGGCAGCATTCTACCCGAAGCAGTAACGTCTTATGTAAACAATGCACGCGCCATTCAGCCAATGATTGACGCCGCGTGCTGTGACGGCACGTGTTAAAGGCAGTCATCTTTTACAGAGATATTAGAGAAGACTCGTTATTCTCTGTGAAACAGATTGGAGAACGTCAAAAAATTAACAATAAGGGCGATAAAGCAATCGGGAGAATAAGTATTGTTTAATGGTCGAGAGCGAGATATTAAGTGATATATTGCAACAACAAGAGGGCCGCGAGGCCCGAGTGTTTTTACAATATATTACGCAATGTCTTAAGCTCGAGAACATTAAGCAACTTAAAATACAGACACTTGCACGTGCTTTGCAATGAAATACGTCACTCGGGTTCAATATTTTAACTAGTTGCCAGTACGATTATTTAAAATAATGGTACGCCAACATCAAAGGATGACGTCACAGCTGTATTTTAAATAAATAAGTTCGGACACTGTTAGATAGTGTAATTATTCAACGGTTACCCGTTAACTGCCTGTGTGCGATTTTTTTCTTTACTTGGAATTCTATTTGCCAAAATGTTCCTGGAAAGGAACGGTATCTATTCGTTCGGATGGCTAAAAAAAACAACAACACATGGTATGGTGTACACACTGGATTATACGCAAAACAACCTTCGTCCGGGCAAACTTTCCTCCATAGCACACTGCATGATGTATGCCTGTCTGCGTTAGCCCATTCGGTGCAGAAAGTGGGATGGGGGACTAAGTGAGAGGGACACAATGACGAGTTTTGCGTCTTGAGTTTTTGCGCACCATGAGTTTTTGCGCCTCCTCGCAAAATTAAATGGCAAAAAAAACCCACGCGGTTTCAGTGTGGTTTTCAAGATTATAATCATAATCATAAGGCTCAACCAGTGTCAAACATGTACCGTCGGTCAGAGATGCTACAAATCGACTCTAGCCCAATATTACCCGGTGACACTGGGAGGGACTGCCACCCCCACCCCCTTCCCCGCACACACATATAAATTTTTTATTGGGTCCCGGACGGGATCCTGTCCCGCATGTAAAATCATGGGTCACCACGCCCCTGCATTAAACCCCATATTCCATATCATTTCATAAGCATGTTTGTCATTCAATTTTAGATCTTTATGAGATTTACCCACCCCTTCACAAAAATACAAAACTATGACTAACAAACTCTGTATAATATTGTAGGAGTGTTTTTGTCTATTTTATTATTAAACTGTAGTCTGTACCATATCAATGCTATGGAAATCTAACCGGGCAGCGGAATAAATGATACTAATCTTATTATTATGATAGAAATTGGTTGTGTGCATTTCTGAACCGAATATTATTGTCGAGTGGTCTAAGGGAAGCAACTCCATCTATTTACAATGTACCGGAAGTTTAGGTTAAACCAGCCGACGAGAGTGTATTTTGTAAAATTTAGGTAAAATCTAATATTAAACGACGTTTTAATGTATCTTATAATAACTGAATCAACTGAACATGGTTTCACCAATACTGGAACTACTTGTATTGCAGTAAACCACTAATTTATAAAAAAAACCCCAAGTATTATTAAATCCATATTCTAACTTGTTTATAATATTTCGTTCATCATATTTATATTAATATTATTATAAACAGTGAATGAGTGATTATGTACAGTGGTAAAATTGCGTCAATAAGAACAATACTGGATATATAAAAAAAAGGTTTACTGAGGTCCCTGTCCATCTACGTCTTTATTTGGAAATGAAAAAAACTGCTTAGATTCGAATCAACAAAACAAACCAAATGGATAACCGTCCTACTTTTTTTGGTTCAAACTAGGCTAATGGAAGACAGGTATATATATGCCATGCAGTGACTGTGCTATGGGGTAAAGTTTGCTCCGTCAGCAATTGAATTCCAACAGTCAAGATGTACAATAGAGAACTCGTTTTCTCGTAACATCCGAACGACTAGGCGTATAATACGTTGCCCCTTGCCAGGGCCTCTGTCCTGTAACATTGACAAAGGGGACCCACTTAGGTAAATTAAGATGAACTTTCTTGGCTCTCTTGCATTTTTGTTAGTTAACTCTGATAAATTTAACAGACATGTATTGTCAGTGGGGAGGTTATAAGGTTGTATCTAAGTTTTGTCAAATTGTCCAGTCCGACCAAAAAACTGTTATAAGAATCATATTATCGTTCAAAAACGTCATGTCAAAATGTTGTACGCAATATGCGAGACACAACCTTTTGACGCCCCGCCAACGATATATTGTTGAAAATGATGTTATTCTATATTTTTTTAGATTTTAACGAAGCATTAGATAATGTCTGCTCTTGAACTGGATCCAGTTTTTGTGAAAGCTTTAAAGCTACTGCGATCAAATCATCGAGATTCTGCAGCACAACTGAAAGCTATGCTCGACGATGCACTGACTCAAAAAAAATCAGGAAAGGTATAGCTAGTGTTTATTAAAGTCAGATTAATTTGCTGTCATTAATCAACCGTTTAAATTAAATCATAATTCAGCTCAGATATAGGGGGGTTGGATGGCTAAATGGTTAGCGTGTGCGTGCTGTATCATAAAGTCTGTCATTGAGTCAGCTGGTGTGGTTTCGATTCCCCGGTTGTACGTTACAAGGAGTAGGGTCACCTGTCCAACCTCGTGGCTTTTCTCCGGGTCCTCTGGTTTCCTCCCACTGCTAAAAACCCCTAAGTGCAAGCGAATTATTGAATGAAATTAAACCCTGTGTTAGTCCCAAAATGACCTAGTTTGTGTTGAGTGGATGTTAAACCCCATTTCTCTCTCTCTCAGCTCAGATATATTTGCAATACTCTCGAATAATGCTTATTGTTTATCTCTTAATAAGGTCATTTACTGTAAGCAAACATTAATTTGGCTGCCAGCTAATATTTTATTTGAAAAAGGGTGGTTAGGTGGCCGAATGGTTAACGCAGGCGCGTTGGATCATAAGGTCTGTCATTGAGTCAAGTGGCATGGTTTCGATTCCCGGCTTGTACTTGACAAGGGGTGGGGGCCGCCTTTCCAACCTCTAGGGTTTTCTCTGGGTTCTATGGTTTCCTCCTGATGCTAAAGACCCCTATGCCCAAGTGAATTAATGAAATAAAATTGAACCATATGTTAGTCCCGAAATGGCCTTGTTTGTGTCGAGTGGTTGTTGTTAAACCCCGTTTCTCTCTCTCTCTCTCACAAATGGCACATCTTTACTTTAAGATATTAACTTTAGCTCTTAACACACACATCTCTGTCTGTTTCAGTCAACTGAGCCATCAGCGAAACCGGGAAAGTCTGAAGAAGATGTGGCAAAAAAACGAGAATCTGAAAAGAAACATTTGGAAAAGGTGAATGAATGAATGAATGAAATTAGGTTTAAAGTCCTACTTTTCTGCTCTGATTTGGCTAATGAGGACTTGCATACGCAATGCAGTGTGCTATGAGGGACATTTTGCCTAGACAGTGGCACTACAGCCTACTCTTATATTGAATTCCAACTGCCAAGAGTTCTTTTACGTGCACAATAATGTGTACACAGGACCTCAGGTTTTCGCCCCATCCGAAGGACTAAACATTGTCCCTTGCCTAGCGCTCTGACCCTTGCCACTGACAAAAGGGGGGAACTATGCTGGAAAAGCATAATGAACTTCCACGGCCACATGGGTTTTCTCCGGGTCCTCCGGTTTCCTCCCACTACTAAAGACCCCTATGTGCAAGCGAATTATTCAAAAAAAATTGAACCATGTGTTAGTCCTGAAATGACCTAGTTTGTGTTGAGTGGACGTTAAACCCCATTTCTCTCTCTCTCTATCAAATAAGCATATCTTGCCTTTATGCATGATATCCAGTTGAACTGTAAGAGATGGGGGTAAACCATTACTGATTGTAATTTACTAAATCTAAAATCTCATTTCTTGATTTGGCTGGTGTAAAGAATACCAACCCTCCTCTCCTTACTGATTCAAAGAGACTTAAAGTGGGCAATGTACACATTTATTTTGTGTTATAATTTTCAGTTTCACCAAATTTTAACTAATATAAAATTCAAATTTTAGTAATTTGATTGGATAATATTAGATTGATTTTAGTGCTTAGTGCTTAGCCAATCAAAATTGAAGTATCTACTAAAATTTGGATTTTAACTTTAGTTAAATTTCGTGAAACAGGCCCCTGGAAATTAGTTCATTAAAGATTATAATTTTCTTAGATCTAAAATCTCTTGCTGGTGTAAAGAATTCCCACTTTCCCCTTCTTACTGATTCAAAGAGACTTTAAAGATACATTATGGGAGATTAGATAAAGAGCTGGCAGTTGTAACTATAATAGTTAAAAACTAGATAATGTAAAGGCAATTTGCTGAAAATTTCATTCAAATTGATCCACTATGAACCGAGAATTAAACGATTAAAAATTTCCAGCTAGCCTCAATCATCATTACTAAAGTCAGTACGATAAACAGCATAGTCTCGATTATCCATTTAATCATTAAATTGTGAATGAAAGTTATGCAGTAAATCGGCTCATAATCCACTAAAGATCGCAGGCTAGCGATGCCATCGAGAGTTGATTATGGTCTGGATAAGTTAATTAATGTCTAATTAATAATTTAGATAACATTTCAGGGCTAAAGAAATGAATGAAATGGGGTTTAACGTCCTACTGTTCTGCTCCTATACTGGGCTAATAAAGACGGGCATACGCCATACAGTGTGCTATGAGGGAAATTTTGTCCGGGCAGCGGCACTATCGCCTACTCTTGTATCGAATTCCAACTGCCAAGGGATCTTTTACGTGCATTCCAATGTATACACGGGACCTCGGTTTTCCGTCTCATCCGAAGGACTAGATAGCTGTCCTTGTCAGACCTGCAATAGACAGATTTAGCTCTTGCATAATGTATGTTTAAGTGGGCACTGTAGAAAAATATATATTTATTCTGTATTTTATTTTTCAGTTAAAACAGGATATTAGTTCTTTAAGTGAACCGACAGAAACTAAAAAATCTCGACACGACTCACCATCACGACAGGAGAAGGACGAAAGGAGCAAGGAAAAGGAAAGAGAAAAAGAAAAATTGAAGAAGGAAAAGGAACAGAAGGAGAAGGAAAAACGAGACAAAGAAAAGAGAGAGAAAGAAAAAGTTAAACAGGCGGCCGAAAAGGCTGAACGTGAGAAAGAGAAGAAAGAAAAAGAGGCTGAGTTGGACACGAAGAAGGAAGAATATGATGCTGAAACCGATGAAGAAAATAAAGGAGGGATGGATGCAGATGATTTCGCTTTTGATCTGGGAATCTCTTGTGTTGTTTGCAGGTTGGTTGAATGGGAATTCTATTATATCATAGGTTTAATACAAATTATGTTTTAGGTTTAATACAAATTGTATTATAGGTTTAATACAAATTATATTATAGATCTAATACAAATTATATTATAGATCCAATACAAATTATATTATAGATCTAATACAAATTATATTATAGGTTTAATACAAATTATATTATAGGTCTAATACAAATTATATTATAGGTTTAATACAAATTATATTATAGGTCTAATACAAATTATATTATAGATCTAATACAAATTATATTATTATTTACTGCACGTCCAAGCCAATTATTGAAATAAAACTGTACCATATGTTAGTCCCAAAATGACCTTTCTCTCTCTATTTATTTTCCAGACAATTTGATGTTTCATCTAAAAATCAGCTGGTAGAATGTCAAGAATGTCATAATTTATATCACCAGGTGAGTTAAAATCAACCATGCAGTTTGCGATGAGGGAATTTCCCACGGGCAGTGGTGCTACTGCCTAATCTTTCCAAAAAATCTGATGTGGGAGGGAGGTTTTTATTTTTATGTTTTTATTTTGTCAAAGGATAAAGTAACGACTAGTCTAAATGAATTCTAACATCACATTTCAAGGCAATACATTAACTCATCATGTTGTTAATAGGAGATAGACATGGTGGCTAAGTGAGTAAGACACTGGCTTGATCTCCTGGAGGTCTGGTGTTCGATCCCAGCATTGACCGAGGAGGTTCATCATTTGGATGGGACGAAAAACCGAGGTCCTGTGTATATTTGGCATGCACTTAAAAGATCCCTTGGCATTTGGAATTCGATATAACAGTAGGCCTTAGCGCCGCTGCCTGGGTAAAATTTCCCTTACAGCATACTGTATGGTGTATGGCTGTCTTCATTAGCCCAGTCGGAGCAGAGCAGTAGGACGTTAAACCCCAGTACATTTCATTAACAGGAATGTATGATTATCTAGTGTCGTTCAGGATTGCCGATAACATTTATCAGGGTTGCAGGGTTGCATACACTTCAAATTTTTTCTTCCTGTAACTTGAGATAATTAATGAGATTGTTTTTATTTTTTATGTTTTTAAAATACAAACAGGTCATGCAAACCTTTTTAAGTGACACAATATATTTTTGTATGGCTTTATAACAAGATATTTTAATGATATAGGTCATGCAAACTTTTTTAAGTGACGCAAGAGTATCTGAGAACGCGATATATTTTTTTGTATGGCCTAATAACGAGATATTTTAATGATATAGGAATGTCATCGTCCACCAGTTGTAGATCAAGATGTCAATGATCCACGATTTGTCTGGTATTGTTACAGGTGTGCTAAAACACTCAAGAAAATGGTGAGTGACAATATATTCTTTTATTATTAGATATATGGGGGGAGTGGATGGCCGAATGGTTAGCACGTGCGTGCTGTATTATAAGGTCTGTCATTGAGTCAACTGGCGTGGTTTCGATTCCCTGGTTGTATGTGACAAGGAGTAGGATTGCCTGTCCAACCTCGTGGGGTTTCTCCGGGTCGGCCGGTTACCTCCCACTGTGCTAAAGACCCCACGTGCAAGTGAATTATTGAAATAAAAATGCAACCATGTGTTAGTCCAAAATGACCTAGTTTGTGTCAAGTGAACGTTAAACACCATTTCTCTCTCTCATCCTCAGGTCATTTCAGATCTAACATAATATAGTATCAGTATTTCAATAATTCACTTTCATTCATCCTACTCTCCACCACGTACAAGCCTGGAATTGAAAACGCAAATGTTAGACCACATCCCTCCCAACCTCCCACTCAATAGTTCCTTTTGGGAATAAACATCCCAACATATTTTAATGGCTATTTGATACCAATATTTGAGATTTGGCAAATAAGATACGTGATTACTGTGATTGATTGTTGTAAGGAACAAAACAGTACTTTCTACATTTTTTTGCCTTATTGCTGATATTCCTTTTTCAGGTTGTGAAGCCAAAAGCTAAATCAACGACACCAACACCACCAGTTAAAGAAACGCCAGTTCCTCATAAACCAGCAAAGCCTGAAACACCTGCTGTAGCATTTAGACGAATGGAACCAAAGGTACGTGAACAGAGGATGATCAGTCTTATCTTGGGAAGGATTATAATATCCAATTTTTCTGCTTCAACTGGGCTAATGAAGATTAACATACAATGTGCTAGGAGGGAAATTTTGCCAGACTGTCAAGGGTTCTTTTATCATGTTCCTGGAGCAACGTCTGCGAGTTTTACAACATCTGGACGTTGCTAAATTACTCCAGAATTCCCAAACTTATAGCTATGTTATCTACAGACACGTGAGCAGTAGCGTCCAATCAGAGGTTGTGACATAGTGACCTACATGGAAACCTTCACATTGAACAAACCTTGAAGTTTGCAAATTGATTATCACAGGTAGACATTTTAGCTTGAAGGCGTGAGACTTGGTATTCGTGACGATTGAGGAATCTGATAGGCTCACAAGCTGGGCTTGTACCCAATTGAAATTAGTGCTGAAATATGCAGGGTATTACCTCAGGGTTCCCGCGGTCCTTGAAAATCCTTGAATATCCTTAAATTTAAAATTTCATTTTCAAGGTCTTGAATATCCTTGAATTTCGCGGAAATAGGAAAATATCCTTGAATTTCAGTTGAGATCCTTAATTTTGTTTCAAATGTCTTCAATTCCTTTTAAATATGAGATTATAACGATAGTTGGTAATGTTTTGGTTATTTTTAAGATGAAAAATTGTAACTTTAGGCTAAAAAATGTCCTTGAAAATCCTTGAATTTGACGTATATTTATCCTTGAATATCCTTGAAAAAATGGTTGACGAAGGCCTTGATAAGATATACGTGGTTAAAGTGAGATCAATCCTTTTATTGAAGATGTTCTTTTAAGTGCACGCGACATCATTTTTTTTTAACCATCTGATGTTCCTTGTCAGTTCCTCTGTTCTGCACTGCTGACAAAACCACTCGGGGAACTTTCCCGTGGTGCTTTCTCGGCCAACACCGGGATTGAACCCTGAACCCCCTGGTTAGTAATCAAGTACCTTAATCGCTGGGCCACTAGTAAATCATGATATATCTGTAATATTTTGAAGTTAGTGTGATCATCCTTCATGCACTTTTCTAGAGTTAGCTCCCTTTTCAATAATTGTTAACCATTCTTGAAATGAAATCAAATGGGGTTTAATATAAGTGATGCAGGAAGGAGGGTCTGACTAGGACAGCTGTCTAGTCATTCGGATGAAACGAAAACCTGAGGTCCTGTGTACACATTGGTGTGCACGCATAGGCGTAGGAGCTCAAAGTAATTCAGGGGGGCATAAGAGAAAATTGCCCGAAATCAATATAATATAATCAATATAAAAAGACGAGAAAATACTTTTCAGGCAGTGTGGATCTCATAGAAATAAGTTAGTTATATTTTTTCTCTAAACGTTAATAGAAAATAAAGGTCGTCGAATTTTTCATTGCCCGAAAATAAATTTTTTGCCCCCCCGGCTCCTATGCCTATTTTTGCACGTTAAAGACCCCTTGACAGATGGAATTTGATATAAGAGTAGGCCATAGGGCATCTGTCCGGGTAAAATTTCCCTCATAGCACAGTGTATGGCGTATTCCTGTCTTTATTAGCCCAGTAGGACGTTAAACCCCATTTTAATCGAAATAAACTAATTTAAATACAAATGTAAACAAAGAGAATGGGACCCTTTCAATCTGATTAAAACACAGATCCTATTTCGTTTCATTTTTTATAGTTTAAAATTTCCTTTTACTTGTCTTTACTACATTAGGATCTGGAAGAGTTGTTACAACTTGTCAGATCTGCATGTAGTGTAGGCCATGGAAAGTATAAAAAAAAACGAAACTAAATATAGATCTGTATTTTAATCAGATTGGGACTAAATCTTATCATTGAGCCATCCAAAGTTCTTTAAGTGTGAATCCATTTTGATTCAAATAATTACCAAATGCCATAGTTTTGTCACCATCGGGAACAATCTTGAAAAGCTCAATTATTTGTAAGGTAACAGTTCTATTTGCATGTCCTTTCAGATTAAAATGTATTTCAACTGATTTCGACCTGTTATGTTTAGTGTCTGCAAATTGAATACCTTATTTTGACCCCAACTCAATGGGATTTTTGATTGACCTAAATCAATTAGGTGGAAATCCTTTAAAGACTCTGAGCCTAATTTTAATCATTAGGACTCCCTTGCAAATGTTGAATCACTAATAGGAATATCAATCCAAAAATGGTTCAATTCCATTCGGTAGTTACAAATATATGACAAATTGAAAATTACATCATCAATAAAGGCAGCTCCCTATGTAACACACCTGCCATCTTTATTTGCCATGAACAAAATTGATGGGCCTGTTTTTAATCTGATTGAATCCAAGCTGGCAGATTATCTAGTGTTGGTATTTTGATTTTGTTTTGTTAATTAAATGGATAATGTTTTTTTATCGTATCGACTTTAGTAATGATGCTTGAGGCTAGGCCGAAAATTCAATGGCTGAAATCTTGGTTCAGAGTGGATCAATTTGACTGAAATTTTCAGCAAATTGCCTTTACATTATCTAGTTTTTAACTATTATAGTGAGAACTGCCAGCTCTTTATCTAATCTCCCATAATGTATCTTTAAAAAGTTAATTTGAGTATATTTTAGTGTGGAAAAGGTGTGATATTTCGAAAAATACAAATCACGCATCTTTACTTTAATGTTATAATCCAAGGTTTTTTTTTTTAATCTTTTTTACTTTTAGACTTCAACAAGTAAAGATTCTACCAAAAGTGAGAGTTCGAAACCACTGAGTGGTTTGGCTAGTTTGGCTGCAAATCTCTCAAAATCATCCGAAAGCACGAAAAGTTCTTCTTCCAAATCTTCAGAGCCTTTTAAGGCATTTGCTGCTTTGAAGACGGACCTGACTAAAAATATTGCAAAGTCAGACAGCAGTTCAAAAACTACATCAAGTTCGTCAAAGTCAAGTAAACCATCTTCAAAATCCAGCGATAAATCATCATCTTCTAGTTCAGCAGAAAAATCATCATCGTCGTCATCATCGAGTTCTGGAGATAAACCAATGAGTTCCAGCTCTTCCAGTAAATCGGCGTCATCCACCCCCTCAGCGACTAGTTCTATTAATGCTCTAGTGGCCGATAAACGTCTTCAACAAATGAAGAAAAAAGCAGCCAATAAACAACAAGAACAAAAAGTACACGTTCGTTAATATAATATTCTACGATGTAGTGTTAACAGGAAGTACACTTTGGGTGATATTCTGCGATGTAGTGTAAACAGGAAGAACATATTTCGTGATATTCTACGATGTAGTGTAAACAGGAAGAAGGCCTACATTTTCGTGATATTCTACGATGTAGTGTAAACAGGAAGTACATTTTTGTGATATTCTACGATGTAGTGCAAACAGGAAGTACATGTTCAGTGATATTCTACGATGTAGTGTAAACAGGAAGTACATGTTCACTGATATTCCACGATGTAGTGTAAACAGGAAGAAGGCCTACATGTTCAGTGATGTTCTACGATGTAGTGTAAACTGGAAGTACATGTTCAGTGATATTCTACGATGCAGTGTAAACCGGAAGTAGGCCTACATGTTCAGTGATATTCTACGATGCAGTGTAAACAGGAAGTACATTTTCAGTGATAGAATGATTTGTGAGAATTTCTATTGGACAGAAAACTGGGGTACATCAGGGTTGGATGGCCGAATGGCTAGCATGTGCGCGCTGTCCTCCGGTTTCCTCCCACTGCTTAAGACCCCTACGCGCAAGCAAATTATTGAAATAAAATTGAACCATGTTATGTATATTATAAGAACAAAAAAAAAGCCAATGTTTAATGCAATTGTGATGTCTTTGTATGTGTTACTTGTACTTAAGAAGAATTGTAATGATATTAAATTCAGATAATTTCTACAATTGATGCAGTTGTTTATATTTTATATTGCTTCTTTTCTTTTAGATAATTTGGTATGGGGAATTAGAGGGTGGGTGGCCTAGTGGGAATTCTAGTATTTAAGGCCTAGGCTTAATTTCGAATTTGACCATGTCAGTGATGAAACATTTCTTCTGAAATTAAGCCCAGGGCTTAAATTCGAAAAGTATAATATACACCAATTCGATGTAACTCCATCAATGTCAACACATATGGTTTGAAAATTTAAAACAGAGACCACTCTAAATATTTTAAATTTAAGCCCATGGGCTTAAATTCAAAATTTAAACTCGTTATTAAGTCCATAACAGCAGGGCTTAAATACGAGAATTCCCGTGGTTTAACATGTGCGCGTTAGATCATAATGTCAGTCATTGAATCAAGTGGTGTGGTTTCTATTCCCCCTTGTACCTGAGAAGGAGAAGGATCACCTGTCCAACCTCATGTGTTTTCTCCTAGTCATACGTTCAGTATGTGATCAAATGAAAATTTCTAAACATTAATCATCCACTGTAGATGGTATAAATGGGATATTGTCAAAACAAACCAGCGTCACCTACAATCTTCTCTAAAATCATTTAATCAATTAAATCCAAGCCAAGTAGTTATCTACCGTTGGTATTTTGATCTTTTTTAAAATTAAATGTTAAATAATCAATTTGAGAACATATTAGCCTGGATTAATCGTTAAAAGAATTAGATGTTGTACAGGAAATGCAAGTAACGATCAGTGACTTTAATTCTGTTTTTCTCAAATGTCAACAGTTCTATAAATACGCTATATTTATATAACTGTTAACAGTATAAATACAGTATATTTATAGAACTGTTAACAGTATAAATTCAGTATATTTATAAAACTGTTATAGAACTGTTGACAGTATCAATACAGCATATTTATAGAACTGTTAACAGTATAAATACAGTATATTTATGGAACTGTTAACAGTATAAATACAGTATATTTATAGAACTGTTATAGAACTGTTGACAATATCAATACAGCCTATTTATAGAACTGTTAACAGTATAAATACAGTATATTTATGGAACTGTTAACAACATAAATACAGTATATTTATAGAACTGTTAACAACATAAATACGGTATATTTATAGAATTGACTTACGGCAGCTCCAAATATTAATAACCAACAGACAATAATACAATTAATCCATCAGTAGCACATTACTTAGCTGACCAAGCTTTTAATACAAAGATGGATTTATGAGTTACAATGGAGTGCCAAATCAGACTAACAAGAGATTGTAATCTAACTGTGATCATCCAATAAGAATTAAGGTTTAGAGAGTTTTAAAATATGGTGAATGACCGGACTGGGTCATACACACGATCAAATGCACTTTCATTTATTGATAAATGCTGGTCCAAAAAGCTAGATGCCCCGAGAGAGGAATGGGGCTGCCCTTTATCAAAAAAAAGCATCAGCAATACTAATCGATCTTTGTCCAGTAACAGTTGTTTTTTGTCCAGTTGTTCGAAAGGGGCTAAAAACGGAGAGTCCGTGTATACAATGGTGTCCACGTAAAAGAAGTTGTAATTTGAAATAAGGGTAGCAAGGCCGTTGCGCCGCGGCTGTCAGGGCACAATGGCGTCTGGCCATCTTCAACCTCCCAGTGGAGGGTTGGATGGCCGAATGGTAGGCACGTATACGCACTGTATCATACGGTCTGTCATTGAGTCAACTGGCATGGTTTCGATTCCCCGGTTGTACGTGACAAGGAGTAGGGTCGCCTGTCCAACTTCGGTGGTTTTCGCCGGGTTCTCCTGTTTCCTCCCACTGCGAAAGACCCCTACGCGCTAGCGAATTATTGAAATAAAATTAAACCATGTTAGTCCCGAAATGACCTAGTTTGTGTTGAGTGGACATTAAACCCCATGTCTCTCTGAGTCAACTGGCGTGGTTTCGATTCCCCGGTTGTACGTGACAAGGAGTAGGGTCGCCTGTCCAACTTGGGTGGTTTTCGCCGGGTTCTCCTGTTTCCTCCCACTGCTAAAGACCCCTACGCGCAAGCGAATTATTGAAATAAATTTAAATGACCCAGTTTGTGTCGAGTGGACGTTAACCCCCCCCACCCTCTCTCTCTCCAGTCGGTACAGAAAAGTGGGACGTTAAAATGTTTTTTTTTATTCGTATCATTCAACAGTCGGTTATCAGGTCACATAAATGCACAGGCAAAACAAGGCATTGTATAACCCTAACGGACACTCTTTCTTAATTCTCTTTCGTTTTCTCCTTGAGAAGGTGACACAGATGGGTGTCATATTGGGGCATAATGTATACTTGATAATTTGATCTCCGTAGCTTCCGTTCGTATCACTTTGTATCGCTAATATCAAAATACGTTTCTGTTCTTCTCCGACTGGTTCTAATGAAGACGTTTATACGCCATACAGTGTGCTTTGAGGGAAATTTCGCCTGTCAGCGGCACTACGGCCTTCTCTTATATCGAATCCAACTGCCAAGGGATCTGTTGCGTGCACACCAATGTGTACACGGGACCTCGGTTTTTCGTGCGAACGACCAGACACTTGTCCTTGTCAGACCCTCCGTCTTGCACCAATGACAAAGTGAAAACCACGCCGGAAAATCCTGATGAACTTTCTGGGCCAACACCGGGAGCGAACCCGCTATCTCCAGGCTAGCGAGCCAGTGTCTTACTCACTTAGCCACCGTGGCTCCTGAATGAAATGACGTTTAATGGCACGTCAGCACCAACCGGGCTGTATTGCGCTAACCATTGAGATTTATTCGAGACAAATTAACCAATAAATGTTATTCAAGGGCATGATCGAACACAGTCAATGTATTCTTCTAATAGACACCTACAGCAAGTTTGAACATTCTACCTCAATTAGAAGAGATATTGTGCTCCAAAGTCTCGGCCAATCAAATTGAAGTAACTACTTAGCCTATAAGCAGAAAATGGTCATTATCAAACTTAGTCAAGGTATTGGTGTAATACACTTAATTAGAACTATAGGTATCGTGTCACGAAGCATCGACCAATCAAATTGCTGATCCAAAAATGCTCCGAAATGAGAGAGAAATGGGGTTTAACGTCAATACGACACAAACAAGGTTATGTCGGGACTAACATTTTATTTAATTTTATTTCAATAATTCACTTGCGCGTAACCAACTCTACTCCTTGTCACGTACAAGTTGGGAATCGAAACCACGTCATTTGACTCAATGACAGACATTCTGATCCAACGCATACGCGTTAACTATTCGGCCACCAGACTCCCCTCCTATAACGAAATAGGATTTAACTTCACACTGCTACTATATTATGTCGCATTTGTGCCACCATAGTAAATGTTATTGTCTTGAACGTCACACACCAGGATAAAAATCACAATCGCATCACGTGTATCTCGGATTCTGCCTCGGGTTGAAATAATGCACGTGACAAACTAGCTAAATAGGGAAATGGTACTAACATTTTTATTCAAGAATAGCAGACGAGACAGAAACTGTACATTTTAACTCGGTTGTAAAACTAGCATTCAATGAGTTATCAATCCAGTTTTAAAAGTATCCAAGGCCAGTTTCAAATATTTAACAACAGCTAAGAAATTGATTCAAATATTTGAAATTGATTCAAATATTTAACTGCAGGTAAGAAATTGATTTAGTATTCAGCTTTACCAATTCCTTTCAAATAGTCTCATGCCGTTAAATTATCGATGATCAATTAGAAGCACAATTTACTGATATAGCCTAAATTAATTTAATTGAAAACGTTCGTTTAAATTACAATATTTGATATAAACAGAGCAGGTATAATCTTGAGAATGGCGGCCCTTGAATGAGAAAGTTTATAGAAAAATATATCATGTAGTTATACGCCCACATTTTCATGTGAATGGATGTTGTCGTCGCCTCTGTCCGTCCGCCCGTCCACAATTTGTTTGTGGACACTCTACATGTCACAATTTTTATTCAATTTTGACGAAATTTAAAATATACGTATCTCCCAAAGATGCCGGTTCCTTTCGATATTGGCTTATATCGGACTCTGATTGTACGAAAAATCACATCTTTAGCTTGTGGACACTGTAAAGGTCAAGTTGATGAAACTTGAAATAAATGTTTCTAACCCATTGATATTCTTCGTTTTTTTTCAAAATTCGCGCATATCGGATCGGATCGTAACTTCCTGAATTATGCCCCTTCGTACCCTAAATATATGGTAGTCCCTATATCAAGGTTGTGGACCCTCTAGGAGTCAGTTTTGATCCGAATTTGATACAACCCAAAGATCCTTATTGTACGATAAATCACTTTTTGTTTAGCTTGTTCTCAATCCATTTCTTGCAAGACGTGGGCGTATCCTGCCTGGCAATCGCTGGTTTTTCACTGCCATTGACCATATTTGTGTAAAAGTGAGCAAATGCAATATTCTGCTTGATTCGGTTTGAAAGAACAGACAGTTCTCGCTATAATAGTTAAAAATAGATAATGAGAACAAAATATGCTGAAAATTTCGAAATTGCGATACAAACTCGGTCATTTCGGGAGTAACATATGGTCAATTATATGAATAATTCCCTAGCACGTAAGGGCCTTTAGTAATGGGAGGAAACCGAAGAAAACCCATGAGGTTGGACATGCGACCCTACTTCTTGTCACGTATAATCGGGGTATCGAAAACACAAAGCGTCTTTATTATATTTTGTATTTTTTTTGAAAGTTTCAATATTGAGTCAACCAGGATCAAATCTCCACCCATAACTAATCCAACACGCAATCCCATCGATGTCTCCCCCCCCCCCCCCCCAAAAAAAAAGTTCCGAGGGCTTATGAAAATCGACATTGATTAAATTTGAATAAAATATTTTGATTTTATTACAGATTCCAATGCACGACCTTCGCCGATAAAATTTATGGTTACAGTTGTGAACTCCGGGGGGCCAAAGCCAGCAGGGCGCCATTGTACCCCATTGCCCCAACACGGAGCATTGCTGAGGCTAAGAAAAATACGGATTTCTCAACCATCATTGGTACGGTGACAGAGGGAAAACGTTATCTCCATTTTAAACAGGTCGTAGATTTTGCCTACTCAACTTTGTTATTTAGATCCCCAAATCTTTGATTCAATCTTAGTACCTTATAATCCGCTAGAAGATGATTGTTTTCTTGCCGCTGTACATCACGTGTCTCGTGTTGATAACACGCACCCCATTGTACTATATAATTTCATAAATAACGCGTGTTACGCTGTATCACGTGACCTCGTTCATATTCATAATCTCATTATACAATTATAATTGAGGGTAATTTTGCTCAGACAGCGGCACTATAGCCTACTCTTAATATATCGAATTCCAACTGCCAAGGTATCTTTTACGGAACCTCGCTGTTTCGTCTCATCCTTTGATAATGAAATGAAATGGAGTTTAACGCCCAACTGTTCTGCTCCGACTGGGCTAATGAAGATGGGCATACACCATACAGTGTGCTATGAAGGAAATTTGGCCAGGGCAGCGGTGCTATGGCCCACTAGTATCGAATTCCAACTGCCAAGGGATCTTTTACGTGCTCGCTAATGTATACAATGGGCCTCGGTTTTTCGTCCCATCCTTGCCATCACAGACCCGACCTGCACCACTGACAAGCGGGGAAACCACGTCGGAAAATGTAGCCAATGCAGTGATCGAACACGCGACGTCCAGGCTAGCGAGCCAGCATCTTACCCACTTAGCCACCGTGGCTCACTCCATATAATGCTAATCGTTTATTTTTTTTATACAAAGTGGCAATTTCATATAGCAATGCATATGTTGGATACTCAATTTTCAGTCGTGTGTGGATATAAGGACTCGAGCAAGACTTCGCGTAGAATATCGATACAAAAATCGGGGCCGACGCAGTCGTGTAGTACCAATATGTTAATGTCTCTCTCGATCACATCATAAACACCCAAAATGATTATACTATATATATATTTCCTTTCTTTTATTCAGACTGTACGGAGCCAAGCAGTTTGAATAAATGGCACCCTACTTGCCCACGACTACGGGGATGGCATCATTTGTATGGAAGTAGGAGACGAAGTCATAGTTTACTATGGTTGAAATAATGCACATAGAAAACTAGCTATATAGGGAAATGGTGTTAACATTTGTATTTCTTCTCAAAATGACTTGGATATCGGGTGTGTTAAAACTTGATAATACTATACTATACCAATAGAGGGGCGATTGCAGACAAGACAGAAACTATACATTTATACTCGGCAAGATTGCAACATTTAATTTATCAATCTACAGTTTTAACAGTATCAAGACCAGTTCCAAATATTTAACAACGGTTAAGAAATTGATTCAAATATTTAACCACGGGTAAGAAATTGATTTAGTATTCAGCTTTACCAATTCGGGTCCTTTCAAATAGTCTCATGCCGTTAAATTATCGATGATCAATTAGAAGCAGAATTTACTGATATAGCCTAAATTAATTTAATTGAAAACGTTCGTTTAAATTACAATATTTGATATAAACAGAGCAGGTATAATCTTGCATTATTTTCAAACAGAGAATAGTGGACCTTTAGTAAGAGTGTAAAATTAAATGTATATATAATTTCACTGCCAGTGACCATTCCGCATTACCAAATCCATTTCTGTGATATCTGAAATAGCCGGCATTCATGTCTGATGTGACTCCCATTTTTGTGTCTCAATATTTCATTGTTGAAGATTTTGTCTTACTGATTGGTTTTAATCTTAAACCCCTAACACTAAATTTATAGGTTTTAATCTTGAATACCTAACCCTAATCCTAAAATGTAAAAGTTAATGGAAATAGAAAAGGGAGTCGGGTCTAACATGATCGCCAAATAGCCATAACTAATTTTATTTTTCTTTTTCTTTTATAAACTACATAATTAAAGACTATGGCGATTTCAACGCTTCGGGGCCATAGTGCTTCAGTGACTAAGACGCTGGCTCGCTAGTCTGGTGGTCGCGGGTTTGCTCCCTGTTTTGGCCGAGAAAGTTCATCGGGATATTCTGGCATGGTTTCCCCCCTTGTCAGTGGTGCAGGATGAGGGGGGGGGGGTGACAAGGACACTTAAGACTAGTCGTTTGGATTGGACGAAAACCTGAGGTCCCGTGTACACATTGGCGTGCACGTAAGATCCCTTGGCATTTGGAATTCAATATAAGAGTAGGCCTTGGCGCGTGCAAAATTTTCCTCATAGCACACTGTAAATAGCTTATACCCTTTATTGGTCCAGTCGGAGCGGAACAGTGGGACCTTAAACCCTATTTCATTTCACTTCAGGAACAGCAGAAAACAAAACACTTAAAATCAAAACAATAAAACTGATGGACGAACCAACACCACCTAGTTGGTGATGTGGAGCTCTAACCAGGAATGGCTGAATATATGCAAAGTCAAAAGTTTATGTAATGTTCAGTTAATGTGTCGAACAAACGATTCAAGGGAGCTAACCAACACTCCATTATAATTCCATCGTCTATAGTCACGTTTTTAAGTTCGGCATTGTTACATTCGGAAATGATTATAGGGACCTTTTCGCATCGGAACTGTGGAACTGGATTTACGTAGGTATGTAAAAGCAAACTGATTCTTGCCTCATATATTTTATTTTCCACAATTTTTCGAGGCCTTCTGTATATTGTTTGTGTAGAAGTGAGCAAATTCAATATTCTGCTTGATTCGTTTTGAAAGAGCTGACGGTTCTCGCTATAATATATGTAGTTAAAAATAGATAATGAAAACCAAATATACTGAAAATAAATTTCAGTTGAATTGCAGCACAAACTAGCTCATTTCGGGACATACATATGGTCAATTATATCTCAATAATTCTCTTGCACGTAGGGGTCTTTAGTAGTGGGAGGAAACCGGAGAAAACCCACGATATTGCCTCTCTTATATAGAATTCAACTGTCAAGGGATCTTTGACGTGCACGTCAATGTGTACACGGTACCTCCCATCTTTCCACCCTATCCGAACGAGGGCTTATGAAAATTAGCATTGATTAAATTTGAATAAAATATTTTAATTTATTACAGATTCAAAGGCACGCCCTTGACCGATTTATGGTTACAGTTGTGAAATCCGGGGGTAAAAAAAGCCAGCAGGGCGCCAATGTACCCCATTGCCCCAACACAGAGTATTGCTGATGCTAAAAAATATACGGATTCTAAACCATCATCGGCATGGTGTTCAAGGGAAAACGTTGTTTCCGTTTAATGTGACTGATGCTATTAAACGGGTCTAAAGTTAGTAGATTTTGACTACTCTAGTTCCCCAGATCTTTTGTTCAGTCTTAGTACCGTATAATCCGCTAAAAGACGGTTATCTGCTTGCCGCTGTACATCACGTGACTCGTGTTGATAACACGCACCCCATTGTACTACATAATTTCATTAATGTTACCGCTGTATCACGTGACCTCGTTCATATTCATAATCTCAATATACAATTATAAATGAGGGAAAGTTTGTCCGGGCAGTGGTGCTATACCCTACTCTTATATCGAATTCCAGCTGCCAAGGGATCTTTTACTGAACCTCGCTTTTTCGTCTCATCCGATTGACTAGACTCGATCATCATTACTAAAGTAGGTCCGATAAAAACGTCTCGATTATCCATTTTTTTTTTTTATTTAATCATCAATGAGCGTTCAGCAGCAGATCGGTTTCAAATCCAATAAATATCACAGGCTAGCGATGACATCGAGAGTTGATTATGGTCTGGATAAGTTAATTAATGTCTAATTAATAATTAAGATAACATTTCAGGCCTAAAGACCTGCAATAGGCAGATTTAGCTGGGGATCACGTGGCTAAGTGGGTCAGACGCTGGCTCGCTATCCTGGAGGTCGGGTGTTCGATCCCTGCATTGGCCAAGAAAGTTCATCCAGATTTTCCAGCATGGTTTCCCCTTGATGCAGGACAATGGTCTAGTCGTTCGGATGGGACGAAAAAACGGAGGTCCTGTGTACACATTGACGTGCACTAAAAGATCCCTTGGCAGTTGGAATTTGATATAAGAGTAAGCCGTAGTGACGCTGCCCGGGCAAAATTTCCCTCATAGCGCACTGTATGACGCATGCCTGTCTTCATTAGCCCAGTTTAGGAGTAGGACGTTAAACCCCATTTCATTTCATTGCAGATTTAGCTCATGCATAATGTATGTTTAACTTTACTTTGTATCTGGTTATTTCAGGAACATCAAATTGGGCAAGATATGACCAATAATACACCAAAGAAAAGGATGAATGAGTGCAACCTTATTATTTCAGGACCATCAAATTAAGCAAGTTATGTCCAATAATACACCAATAAATACAGGATGAATGAGTGCAACTGTAGTGATATGGAAACCCACGCCAGAATGGGAATGCAACTGTAGTGATGTGGAAACCCACGCTAGAATGGGAGTAACTTTTAAAAGGTGGACAATTTTCTAAAAATAAAAAAATAAAATCTAAAATTTAATTCTTTCAAAAGGACAAATCCAGCTGATTTCAACTAATAACAGATACAGACCATGTATATTCCTTCGCCCATAGTCAACATTTTTTAAGTTCCAATTTTGATTAGTATATTACTTTAATAAATAATATAAAAATTATATTAGCCTGGTATCTAAATCCACATAAAAATACCAATGTGACGTTATCCTTTGATGTTGGCGTGGTACAATCTTCATATAGTGCTGAAATTAAATAAAATGGGGGTTGAATATCCTGTTGTGCTCCCACTGGGCTAATGAAGACGGGCATGCTATGAGGGAAATTTTGCCCGGGCAGCAGCGCTATGGCCTACTCTTAAATTGAATTCCGACTGTCAAGTAATGTGTAACGTGAATTCCGACTGTCAAGTAATGTTTAACGGGCAGGCCAATGTGTACACTGGACTTCCGGTTTTTCGTCCGAACGACTAGACAGCTGTCCTTGTCAGGCCCTCCGTCCTGCACCACTGACAAGGGGGAACCACGCCGGAAAATCTGGATGAACTTTCTCGGCCAATGCAGGGATCGAACATGCGACCTCCAGGCTAGTGAGCCAGCGAATTGCCCACCGTGGCCCCCTCATATAATGCTAATCGGCTATTATTTATACAAGGTGGCAATTTCATAGAAATGCAGTACGTGTTGGATACTCAATGTCCATTCGTGTGTGGATATAAGGACTCGGGCAAGACTTTGCGTTGTATATAGATACAAAAATCAGGCTGACGTAGTCGTGTAGTACTAATATGTTAATGTCTCTCTCGATCACATCTTAAACACCCAAAATGATTATACTATACTTTTCTTTCTTTGGGGGGGGGGGGGGGATGTCCGAATAGTTAGCAATTGCGCGCTGCGCTTATCATACGGTCCGTCATTGAGTCAACTGGCGGGGTTTCGATTCCCCGGTTGTACGTGACAAGGAGTAGGGTCGCCTGTCCAACCTCGTAGGTTTTCTCCTTGTCCTCCGGTTTCCTCCCACTACTAAAGACCCCTACGCGCAAGCGAATAATTGAAATAAAATGGAACCATGTGTTAGTCCCGAAATGACCTAGTTTGTGTCGTGTGGACGTTAGGTGTCTTTAGCAGTGGGAGGAAGCCGGAGGACCCGGAGAAAACCCACGAGGTTGGACAGGCTACCCTACTCCTTGTCCACGTACAACCGAGGAATCGAAACCCCGCCAGTTGACTGTTACCTGTTGTGTAAATTATCCATTACATCCTATTTTACTTGTCCAGAGGGTTCGAAAATATTTTTAAATCGAAGTTTCATTTGAAAAGGTTTACGTTAGACGTTTCAAACCATTATGTTGAATTTTTCAAAATTTTTAAATAAGGTGTGTTAAGATGAAATTTGTATCATCAATTAATTGAAATATTCTAAAATAGTACAATTTGCTGACCAGAATAAAGATTGGGACATATTATTCTGTTACAACAAGAGTGGTATTGAGCCTTTAAACACGTGGTTTTAGGATTGTATATTTAATAGCTGACACTTTACAACAAATTTATAACAAAGTCTTTTTTAATTATAAAGAATTTGTAATGATGACATTCGCGACTTACGATTATTATTATTATTTTCATACAACAATTAAGAAACACAGATAAGCGAATATTTCAAGAATTAAATGGAGAGAAGATATGTCTTTAAATAACATTTAAAATTTACGCCTTCTCGTATTATCAGAACATAGCATTTCTTCGGTCCGTTATGAATTATCCGGTAGATCTAATTTTTTTACAGCAGAAAATACGCTGGCAATATAAAGGCATTCTGATCATCAAGTCTCATTATCCCTAGTTTTTGGCATTCACCGTTTTGGGAGAATCACAGATACTGATTCAACTCTACTCGGGAAATATATTGCAACAGTTACACAGGTAAATATGACGTTTTATCAAGTCGAAAAGTTAATAGTAAGTGCAGGAGGACCACACTACACGCAAAACAAAAATCTACAAGATAAACGTGCGGACAAGACAGAAAATAGACATTGCACCAAATAAACAAATATCAAATCAAGTGAATAGATTTGGGGGCCAGCTGTTATCGTCCAGAGTCCATAGGTCCCATAGATGAATTTTCATATTAAAGAGGTGGTAATGTTTTAGAAAATGATGAACGACTCGAGAATTTCGATCTCAGAGATTCCTTTAAATTGCGCGCTTAAAAGAGTTTCCTGTAAATCATCAAATCGGCTGTTTTCGAATGAACTTCTGATTGCAAATGGGGGCGGAGTTTAGGAACCGATTTTACACTGATTAATGGCCGGAGAGTTTTACCAGAGATCAACCGAGGGTTACATCATCTCTGGAAGACTGACGACCGGACTGGGTGTATAAAAGAGGTACCTAGAAAATGATTAACGACCGAACTAGGTAACAACTATAGCAGTGAGTGTATGATGAGTTATGTAAGCTTTGTGACTACTATAATTGTGAACGCGGGCGTTAAATACAGTTAAAATACAGATGTGACGTCACCCTTTGATGTTGGCGTAACATTATTTCAAATAATCGTACGGGCAACTTGCCAATAGTACTTTATTCATACCAGTGAGATATTGGACTAGTGTGACGAAAAAGCTCGTGCGGAGTGTCAGTATTTTAAGATGTTTAATGGTCTCGAGCTTACGACATTGCGTAATATATTGTAAAAACATTCGGGCCTACGGCCCTCATGTTGTTACAATATATTACTTAATGTCTCGCTCTCGACCATTAAACAATACATATTCCACGCCACTATATTAAAGTCACGTATGAAACTGATTCTTGGTGACGCTGAACAGTTGTGTTTTTCAAGTTACCATATACAACAGAATCTCCCAGTGTTTCGTTTGTATTTGGGTCATTCGTCTTTTGTTTCCGCCTGTCTTGGATACCGAGATGTCCCAATGTTTCGTTTGAATTACGGGCATTCATTTTCTTTGTCTTGTTCTTCCTGCATTCTCTAATGATGGCTGCTAGTATAGCAATCAGGAGGAGGATACAAGCTACAATCCCAACCACCATCACAATCGTTGAAGTAGAATATCCTGTTACTGAAACAAAACATAACACATCAATGTAAAACAAATTTGATTGCCACTGTCGAATAATGTAGTTTTGTCTAGGGTAATTTGAAAGTAAAATGACCATGCAAAGAATGAAAGCCTAATCTTATAGTTTACGACCACAGGCATGCCATTTTCTGCATATAGAGGAGGGGCCATTTTCTTGGGACTTTGCGGTCCGATGTTCACGAAATTTGACCTCAGCTATGATTATGGCTTAACGCCGATATACTCACGGTTTTCAAAATCGAATGACAATTGCGACCCCTGGAGAGTTCACAAACTGAAAACGCGATTTGTTGCACATTCAGGGATCATATCCATGAACTTATCTGAAATCTTTGCATATAAACATACATTTTAATTTTCCCCCAAAATTCCAAAATTGGAAGCAAATTCTGCCCTCTAGAGTGTCCATAATCAAATCGGAACGGACGTCCGAACAGACATGGGCGACAACATGATAAATCATATGAAAATGGGAGCGTATAATAAAAATTGTGACCCCTTGACGACCCACAAGTTAAAATCTCAACCCTTTCGTGTATGCAAAAATCGAACAAACCCGAGATCTTTGGGATATAAAGATATATTTTAATCGTATAAACATTGCGAACTCTGGAGTGTCCACAGACAATTTTTGAACGGACATCCCGACGGATAGGGACGGCGAATTAATACGTCCACATGGACATGATGTCTGCATACAGTAGAAAGACAATCGTTATCATACCCGTGGGTTGAGAGAGTTGACTCTTTTCTTTAGGCCATAGACACACACTATACCAAACTTCTTCTTGCGGCGACATACGAATCAGCTTTCGGGTAGTATTGGTTTTTAAATTCAGCCGAAAGATTCTGTAATGTAAAAATATATATTAATAATAATGATAATTAATTTATATAGCGTCAACAATTCAACTCAGCGAGCTGCTTTAAATAAGTACAACTTATATAAAATTACAACAATCACAACACAATAATCCATAAAAAAACCCCAGAGAACATTATTTAGTACACATGGTAAAAGTCTGACACAAACACAGCTAGAACCGTATTCAATCAGTTGTATTTTTGATTAAAAAGTTCGGTTTTGAGATACTTTTTAAAACCTTTAATAGAATTTGTGCTTTTGGTTTCGTTTGATATTGAATTCCATAACTTCGGAGCACCGGAGTTGGTTTTTGAAAAAGGCTTAATTAAGTGGTTGTCTGATTGTGATCGAAGGGCTCTGCAAGGTTTATTGGTGTTGAGAAGGTATCTGTTTAAATAGTTGCATTAAAGATACATTATGTAATATATTAATATTTTTACTATAATAGTTCGAAAATAGATAATGTAAAATGAATAATTTGAAAATTTCATTCAAATTACTCTATTGCAAGGGAATATATTAGCCTTTGAAGGTTGGACAGGGCGTGTGCAATAATTTCAACCACCGTACTGGTTGTTCGAAGCTAAGTGTCGCTCCTCCATTTTTAGCTTAAATCAAAATATGGCTGAAATGTTCTAATTATTTCATATCGGAGAAATCCGATGCCATCGAGAGTTGATTATGGCCTGGATATGTTAATTATTTTCTCATTAATAATTTAGAAAACATTTCAGTCTTAAAGAAAGACCTGCAATAGGTAGATTTAGCTCTTGCATAATGCATGTTTAACATAAAATATCGAAATTGAAAGAATGGCATTATTGGAGATTAGATAAAGAGTTGTTTTCCAATATGGTGGGTAGCATTGCGATCATTAGACGACGAACCATTAGGCGGTATACGACATACCGATTATAGCTAATAGATTTGCAAATTTCATTCAATCACGTTTACAGCAAAAATGAGCCTAATCGGTTTCACGTAACCGTCGTATTTACCACACACAACGCTTTACCAATTTGATTGTGCAAATCTTTCAAATTGACGATTCGATTTCCGATTTTCTTTTGAATTTCACATTAAAATACAAATATTATGGACATTCCTGATAC